ACTTTGACAATGAATTGTTGATCTGCCTGGAGCATAGCTGAGTTTGATCATATAACAAAAAATATAAAGGAACTGAATTAAAAAGGTGCGGAGAAGCTACCCAGCCCCAAAGCAGACTCGATAGGATCAGCACTGAGGGCACTTCACCAGGACGACGCACAAATGTCAGTTATATTAGGCGTATTTGCAGAATCTACTGACTATAAAAGACGCCTCGCAGTCAGCAGATACGCCATTTCACAGAGACGACCAACCATAAAAATACTGAGAAATCTAAATTGACACAGAAGACAAAAACAAACATTTCCACCAGCTCAGACATTTTGGTTTTAAGAGAAAAAGCAGAGCTCTTATTAAAAAACTTGGAAATATATTCAGAAGTAATACATTTACGGCTCCCAGCAACCTTAAACTGCACTAAAACATGAAACTGTGACAGTGACTGTACTAGAAGAGAAAGAATGATCAGTTTCATTTGCTCATTTCTGCTGCAACTCATTAGACTTAAATCAGAGAACTGATTAAAAGAGGTGAGAGTGAAGGAGGACTAATGAGGCGCCTCTGTCAGTGCGCCCCAGGGTGGCTGTGGCTACAATGTAGCTACAATGTAGCTACATTGGCAGCTACATTGTAGCTTTGTAGCTACAATGTAGCTACAAAGCTACAAAGCTACAAAGCTACAAAGCGCTTTACACATCCAGTGGATGACTGGATGTGTAAAGCGCTTTGGGGTCCTTATGGACTAGTAAAGCGCTATAGAAATACAGGACATTTACATGGAGAAAATTTTGGGGGAAAGTGTGTTTCACTGCAGCAGTACTGCAGGTTTATTTGAATTCTCACTCATTACCAGAATAAAACAAACCCAAACATTACAAATGACCAAATGAGCATAAAGACTGATGGCATATAAATGTAGAGTTGGTTTCTCAGTGTTTGTATTCATGAGTTGGGCTTGCAGCTCTTAGTAAGCATACATAAACAGACAAAACAGCCAGGGTGCACTTAATGCTTAAAAGACATTTTTATGCTGACAGAAGCTTAATTAATTTAATTGTGATAAGTGACTCATTAAGTCAGATTTAAAAGGTCAGAATGATTGTTAGCATTTCATTTACACATAAACCAGACGCATTTGGACTTTTCTGCCTGTTTTCTGCTACTCTGAGTTTTAAATTCACAGGTTACTGCGATCTTTTTCCTAAACCTAACCGAGGAGTCTCTGCGTCTAACCTAACAAGCGAGTAAAAGTAACAAGCAACTGAAAACAAAGTAACCGATAAGTCAAAGTGCCGACAACAAAGATCAGAGGACAGGAACCACGTTTAGATTCGTGTACAGACCAATGACACATCACTAAGACCGCATTTCTTCCAACTATCTGAAGCTGTGTTGAAGGAGGTTAAGCAGGATACTTCTTTCCCAGCAATGTTTTTCAGTTTCTCATAGGGAATTCTGTGGTGTTCCCAGGTTGATAGGACACAGCTCCCTCAGCAACGTGTAACCCTGGGTCTCCATTGGGAAGCACCCAGGACATCAGATGCCTGAACCAATGCAGCTGGTAGCCTCAATCTGGGCCACCACGCAGACTCATATTTGACGCTGGTACCTGTGACCTCATTTTCTCAGTGACCATAGGTGAGGATTAGAACACAGCTCAGTTCGCTCTTCACTACAATCGCTTGGTTAATTTTGTAGCTGCATAAATTAACAAAACTGTAAGTGTAACTTCATTTGAGCAGACTGAGTCCATAACTGAAGCTCAGTCACCTTCTGTCCTCTTCCTTTTGTAACAGTCACAATGGTGTGGTGTCTCTTTAAGACAACCCAAGTCGAGGGTTAATGTTGTCATCAGTATGCGCCACTACTCTCTCTGTGATTGTGTGGACATGTGCTTGCACGCTAGTGGCATGAGGAGGGACGGATTTTATGTTTTACCTCTCCACTCACCCTTTTTTTTGCAACGTATGGGTTGTACGAACACTGTGCGCTGTTTGTTAAGCTGCAGCCGTTCAATCGGTCTTATATGGTTGACGAAGAGAACGTGTATTAAAGAATACGCTGTGGACACTCACCAAAGCCAGCGTGAGTGTGTATTCTTTCGACTCTCCTGCTAAGTGTTTTGCCGCCTCCTCTCAACCACTAAACACAACCCGACGTTACACTTTCCTTCAATGACCCAAACGGTTCCTCCTCTTGCCGAACCCGAGGACATTCGACATGCTGCACCATGGCATCTTTGACAAACACCATCGACTCTACTTACTCCCACCTCACTCTCACTCTTATACTAATGGCCTGCCTCCTCCACTGAGAGCTTCTACTGATGGTAAACTGCAGGAGACAGCCTGACAAAGGGAACGAGGCCGTAGATGAGATACAGAAAGAAAAATAGAAAAGCCAAAAACACACAAACGAGAACCTGCATCAACCCGCCTACTTGAGGAATAATGTGACACATTTTCCAAAACACCGTATGAATTACAGCAACTCTTTTATCCCGTCTTATTTTAACATAAGGATGAGGTGAGAATTCAAACTGGCTACATGACAGATGCAGAAAGAAGAAAATGAACAATCAGAGAAAAGCGATTTGTTGGCTGTACTTAACTTTGTTCCTCACTATCTCCATGTATCGCTCACTGAACAGGACAAGTCAGTGTCTGCAAAGTCCAGCACCCACTTCAAGTCACCTGCCATGCAACCAGGGCCCTCACGCTTTACATCAGCGATCATTTTAACCAGCGTGCTGTCCAAGTGTTGAAGCAGCTGTCCTCACTGATTTGTTTCAGAGAGCCTACACGTCCCAATAACCTCAGTGGTTTCATTTACAGCATAAATATGACACTTTAGTGTGTAACAGCTCATCTGACTCACAATCCATCACAGTTCACAGCAAAACAACAAATCTGACCCTGAGCACAGTTTGGGTGAACACTCATTGAGTGGTCATTACAGACGGCAGCTATTCGCTCTCGTTCCACATCAGCTACAGCTCAGGGTGGAAGAACAGCGGTCTCAGGTAGAGGGCTCGAATGAGATAAACCAGTATTGTGTGAATCATGCTGAGCACAGTCCAAGAATCACACTATAAAACAGAAATTGGCATAACAGCACCGCTGTACGCTGCAGGAGTTTTAACACCTTTTCCTCTTTTCATGGTCTGTAACAAACCAACAAACAAACCACAACAATGCTGGCTGTAAACCCTTAATAACACGGAGCTTTTAATTCTGTGGTACTAAACTCGGGTGTATGACACTTCTATATTTACTTGGAGTTAATGTCACCCAAAGATTTCACCAGGATCGTTCTTTCACTCTGTGCCGACCAGGATCAGATCTTAAATCCTGCAAGATGAGCAAGCCAAGAACTGCATTCAACTTTAGACAAAAACAGCAAACAGTTCAGCAAAGCTGTCCTCCAGAGGCCTGACAGATTAGAGGCGAGAATAAAAAGTCCTACTGAAGAATTCATGGAAAAGGATGAAGTGATCAAGTTAGAGCTCGCTGCAAAATATTTTTTCGTTTTTTTGCACAGATTCAATTTTCCCTGCTCCAAAAAAACATGACAAAGATAAAAAGCACAAAGTGGTTAAGCACAGATTTAGCTGTTCAAAAAGAAAGAAAGACAAAGAAAGAAATGTCAAGTGTTTTTCTCCATTGTTACAACTCTGAAAGCAAAAGCTGTAATTTGGGTTTTAAACTGGTGTCTAACTGGCTGCCACGAGTCTCACCCCACCATCATTAACACCATTCCTTCAGTTCTGGCCTTCAAAACACAAAACCAATCACACAAGGGTTCACATCACGCTTTGAAAAGCTGCAAAGGAACACAGCAAAATATCAGGTTTCACAGCAAAGGAATGATCCTGCAGGATTTAAAGAACAATGCTGACCCAATTACACTGAAAATAGGTTTATTGCATCTGTTGTTTAGGACCATCCAGCCATACATCCTTACATATATGAAAAAAGGCAAATGTCTGCATAACTGAATCAAAGCTTTGTCTTACATTTGATCCAACTAGTGTGCAGACTTTTTCCAATTTTGCAGTCCTATTATATTTTGTCCACTTCATTGTGCTAAACGCATTCACAGCATAGCAAAAATATTCATTATTTCATCACAATACAACAGGAATACAAAAACTTTAAAATGAGATTTGAAGAACAGTTCTGATTTTTCTGAGGTAGAAATGTGAATTACAGCTCTAACAAAACTGAGTTTTCCTGCATTTTGCAGTGCGTAAAGAGATTAAAGATTTTTTTTCCTTTTTGTGGCATCTGATTGTTTGCCTCAGCATGCGCCACTTACCAGAAATTACAATTGGCTTGTTTACCGCACTCCTCTCTCCATTCATTTCCTGTTTGTTGGAGGCTCTTCCTTAAATTCCCATTTTTGTGCCATTTCATTTCCTTTCCCTCCATTTCCTTGGGTATGTCTCACTGACAATCACTGTGCAATTTGCAGAAGTATTACATTCACAGAACAGTAATCTTGACACATCGTGAAACGGCGGTGTTGTTGAAACGGACAGACGGATCAGGATTTAGCCGGTGACTCAGCCGCACCACCATTGTGGCAAAAATCAGAGCCCTGCAGCTTCACACTTACCTGCTTTTGTGTCAGTCGTTTTTTCTTCTCTTTCAAAATCTCCAGCTACTAAAACGAAAGCTTCCTGCATGACATCTGTTTAAAACTGCCAGAAGAAGAGCAGCTGTGACATAAAAGGTCGGCGACGACATCTTCCATTAGTAGGAAATCTTGATCCTGAATGTGTTACAAGATGCTTTGAAAATTGCTCTTCTTCAAACTTGTTCTTGAGGAACAGCAGGTTGTCTTCCTGTGACGGTATTTCAGCAAATCATCTTCTGTCACTGCGCCATACTGGTCTTGAATCCAGACAACTCGAGACCTTCAGCAGACGGCTGTATCTTTATCATTTCACTGTGTCTGTTCACCTGGATCATCTCCCGTCTCCCTGTTGAAGATCTTACCTTCTGAGATCTCATTGTTCTCCTGTGTGACGCTGCCATTTTTTCTCCCTTGGGATGGAGCCATTTCAACAGCTGATTGCTGAGCTGGAAGATATAACACATGATGCAAAAAACAACATTAACGAATGGTAGGACACTGGAAGAAGCCTAGGACTCGATGTGTGCATCGACATATGACAACAATATACATAATATTAATACACACAACCTTCGCAGCAGCCAGTCGTTCAAATTCAAGTGTTTGTCTGATAATCAGCAGGTGTGAGTTCCTCTATAAAAGCAGAGGTTTGCTTGTCTGGAGCATCCAGCTGTGTGATTCCTCAGGCGTGGACAGTCTATTACATTCAACCAAAGGTCAGACTAGGGATGGGCGGTAGAAACGGTATACGGTAGAAACGATGTAAATTTGGCCAACGATAGAGATTTTGACTATACCGCTCTACCGCAATAGCGCATGTTGATGATGTCATCAAGCTGCGCCTGTT